AGTTAAGTGGTGCACCAAACCAGGGCACAATATCGCGACTTTTAAAGGACCCTTTGAAGTACAAACAGATGTCGTCGCTTGTCAAAAAGCGGTCGTCGACGGGTAAGGCGAGAAAAGTTGAGGAGGGTTTACACAGATGGGTGATGGCACAGTGGCATGCTAAGCGGGCAACAAATGAGCAAATGATTTGCCTAGTAGCAGCACGAATGCTACAAAGAGCGAACAAGAACGTGCCTGCAGAGAACAGGATCTCCTTAAAGTTCTCCTCCGGGTGGCTCACTAGGTTTCAAGCTCGCTGGGGATTTCGCTGTTTTAAGTCGCACGGGGAGAGCGGATATGTTGATTTGTCAGCGATGGAGGCTGCGTTGCCCCAGATGAAAGAACTGCTCGGCCGTTTCGAGCGGAGAGACATTTTTAACGCAGATGAATCAGGATTATTTTATCGAATGGCGCCAGAGAAAACGATTGCTCGTGAACAACTCAAGGGTCGCAAAAAGGAGAAAACACACTTGACCTTTATGCCATGCGCAAGCGCGGATGGTTCCGAACGCATGGAGCTAAAAATAATTGGTCACGCACGTTAACCTCGGTGCTTCAAGAAACAGACAGGAAGGGCATTGGGATTCAACTACTCGGCAAACAAAAAGGCTTGGATGACGTCTGTGCTATTTTTTGAATGGCTTTTGGAGTTCGACCATTTCATTGCACGGACATCGGGTCGCCGAGTCGCGCTTCTTGTTGATAACTGTAGCGCTCATGGGAAACCTGACTCGCTTCCACAGCTACAAAATACAGATGTAGTCTTTCTTCCTCCGAACTGCACTGCAAGATTGCAGCCAATGGATGCCGGAATTATTGGTGCGATAAAGATGCGCTACCGCACGAAGCAGTACGAGAGAGCGTTTGACATGTTGGATGAAGGGATCGATAACATTTATCACATCGATCAGCTCACTGCTATGCGCTGGTTAAAAACCGTTTGGGACGAGCTTCCTTCTGATATCATGGCCGATTGATGGCGCCACACGGGACGGATTGACAGGGAGGTGCCACAGCTAAACCCTATGTCTATTGGGTTTCTTGTGTCGCGCGAGGAACAAAAACTACAGGACGTGGTGACAAGGCTAACGGCACTTGATACGCGTTTGGCAATCAGTAGCATTATGAGGGCCGAGGATATAACCAACAGTACTGAAGAGTTTTCGGAGAATATGCTACTTCAAGGTTGTATGGAGGATGCTTTGGATGATGACCCGGATGACGAAGACGATGAGGAAGACACTGTGCCAATAACGTCTATTGCAGAGCAGCTTAAAGCAGTATCGACAGTCAAACGTGCGATTGATGATAATGCGAGTCTTCCAGGAATCCCCCGCGGGAATAAGAACAATCAATCGTCTGCAGCGAGAGTTAAGAGTCAAGGCGTCTAGCCGCGTGAAGCAAACCACTTTAGATCGCTTCATATGATGGATTCTGTTGAGTTTAGATACCCTTTTGCAGCAATAGAAATGGGCCAATGAGAGGTCTTCTGTAGATGGTATGATAGGAACATACAAGGGCATAACCCCGCAAACTGCATACCAGACGCGTCCACCAATCCTATGCAATTATCGCGGACGCACTGTATGCACTTCTCGTAAAATGACTGCGTTTTTGAAGGTTGTTGAATGGAAGCGTGTCTTGCCGCTGATGGTTGAGCTAGAAAGCGGTGGCCTAAACTACGCGAGTTGCAGTGTTTGGGTGGTAGATGGCTTTTGAATGGCTTCGAATGAGCAAGTTCAGCAGTTTTTTCAATTAAAAAGGTCGATTAAGTGCTGAGGTAACGGACATTTTGGCAATTAGGTCGGGAACGGTTACTGTACCACCTCGTCTACAGTTGGCATGCTTCTGTAGGCGAGTACACTGCGGTTATTTCAGGTGGTCGGCGTGTAGGCGCGAAGTCATCCTGTTGACTTGTTCGTCTACTGTCCATGCCGCCGTTCGAGATTGTCTCAAGCCTTCCACGTGATCATGACTCCGAGACCAGAATCTTGATTGCAGGTCCAGGAGAGAAAGCTCGACAATTCACAAATGGACCGCTCTGCTTTACGTTGCAGCCAGGACTCTCACTGCTACACCACAGACTTTGGAAACGGGACTTTGGATACGGGAACCCGTACTGTACCTTCATGGGGCGAAGCGTATCTGCTCCTCGGCTCGATCGCACAATCTCCTTTTTCAGCTGCCGTATCCTGCCATTGGGAATGCGGCGACCTGCATCGCTATGTTCTGGAGATGAGCGGTGGCTGGACGTGTGCTGGTGGCGGTATTGCACTTTGCGGGCTCATATGTAGGACATAGGTAGCGTATAATTATTGCGAATTTTGGACATACCGGGCAGGACAAACCGACGAGTAAAGCGGACGCCATCAACACCGTTGTCCTAAATACACTATTTAGCGCCTTACGCACGCGCGAGACTATTTCATAGGAGGGCTAAGGACACTATTAACGCGAGGTTTGGACCAAACTCCTTGTCCTGCGACGGAAGAGATCGCGACTGTCCTTTTTTGCGTCTCGTTTTTCGACGCGTTCGCGAGATGGAGCCAGTTCCTACCTCTTTAATTGTCGCTTTTGTAGACACTCACGATCTGACTAAAAGAAAACCCCAGGAACGATGCTGTTCCATCGAGGCTCTTCTCCGTCCTGGAGACCTGCAGGTCTTGATTTTAATTCGGTCTGTAGTTCTATAAAAGCCCATGGGCTTTTATAGAACTACAGACCGAGTTAAAATCCTCTGTAGAGCTTTCCATTAAACAAGGAAAGATGATTTGTACCGAGGTGGTCCTCTCCTCGTTAAGCATTTTGATTTCTTGAGAGACTATGCATTAGCCTTAATTTCCAGCAATTCCCCGTCAGCTGTCACTGTGGCAATACTGTATTATTAGCGAAGGGAGCAACTCGAATTGGGTCTGCACTTGGCACCCCGACCAACGCATGTATCCATCTGCATGTCCAACGGCTGCAGGTTCCAACATGCGTTTCCCAGCCTTTCATCGAAGACAATGCCCATTCATTGTCATGGCCGGATGTCCGTGGCCATACGGTCGCGGTCTTCTTACGTATCAACTAGCGACCACACATGCTAGCCTGTCCAACTGTTCTCTGCTTCCTATCTTGTGTTTCCACCAAGTGTGAACACCCACGCTCTTCCGCGACACAAGTCTCGAGAGACCGCACTGCAAAAACCAGCTGGAAACACATGGCCATACTATCCTCACCCAACACGGTACAATGAAGCAGCGTTCCAGACTATTCAATACTTAATGCTCTCCGTGCCTGCCGATCACGGTGTGTCCCATTCTAGACTGGGTCAAGCAAGGGGTACGCGGTCTCCTTCTCTATGCCGGCAAAACGATGAGGTTTGCTTCAGCTCTTCTTGTCCTTGCATATGCATTCTACGTCCAGGCATGGCGCTTCGATATCCAGAGCATGTTTGAGAGTAGACCGCTAACCTTTCTACGACGCCCGAGCCAGGACAATCAAGCCGCAGCAGAAGATGTTGAGCCTCAGACCCTACCGAGATACAATGCGTTTCGGGACAGACAATTACAACTCTCAAACCTACCCTGCGTCTTAGATGACATTCAAACTATTGGTGCTTGCCTATGTGCCGAAGCCCGAGATCTCAAAGGACTCAGATTCACGCGTCGAGATACAGCGTTTTGCACCTCCCTTTTACAGCTCGAACCCGAACTATGGAGGCAAGAGTGCGACGCCTTCAAAGACTCAAACGGAAACGTGCAACTGTATCGCCTGGTACATGTTGTATTCAACATTCTTGGAGAGTGCAAGCCTGAGAGAGTGGAGAAAGAAACAAGAATTGCGAGGGGAAGATTAGCGACTTCCGATTGCACCGGAGAGGAGTGCAATACGAGTACAACGGATGAGATAAGGACAAGTGCGATGCAGCCACAGGTGGGAATATCCGGTCTCCGAATGTACATGGAGGGGCTGAATGGAATAGGAGATGACTTGACATCCGGGGCGGCGGAGGAATTGACGTCCCCTATGACGTACGTGGAAAGCAGGGTACGACAAATCAGTCGTTTTATACCAAACGAGCAGGGTAACATTCTCGGAGCTCTCGAAGTGATAGAGGAAGTTGGGTCAGAGGTAGGTATAGTTTTGGGGCCAGTTCCGTCAGGCGAAAGAGAACGACATCGAAAACTGAATTACAGGATCGAATGCAAAAATGGAAAGTTGTTGAGGGCTGTTTTAACCGGAAGGACGGTGGAGCTAATGACGAACAATTTGGCAGAAGTGGAGTTGCCACAAACAGCTGTGAAAGATATTTCATACCTGGATGCTACTGATCGCCAGAGAGGACGTCAGAGAGGACGACGGGTTATAGTGGTTGCCTCGAAGTGTCGACCGAGGAAAACTGCTGACGGGAAATTAACGTTCATCTGCGAATGCAGGAGAAGGGGAAGGCGCAGAGGAAGTAGCAGCGGTACGGGAACAAGGTAAGCCGATTTGTACAAGCAGGAGCTACCGCTCTTCCCTCCGAGATCGTTGTGGATAAAAGTTCCATGCCGCCCCTTACCGTGCTTCGCTCAATTTGCTCAACGAGCTCGATGTAAATTAGTTTTTGACTTGGTCGGTCTGTGGGAAGAAACCGGCTTATCAATGTACCTCATCGCCTTTTGACACCGGAAAACACCTGCTGTTAAACAAACCCGACTGTCAAAGTTGCGTTTATATTTTAGCCGTCGTAGTCCAGTTCTGCTGAATCAAGGGTAGCAATATTGAAGTAGATGCTTACTCACCGAATAAGGTTCTTATGGTGCAAGGAACGATGTCTCTGTCTTTACTGAGGCTCTAGTGTCTAGGTGACAAATGAGGTCACTTTTCAACTTATTTTTCTCGACTTGTGCTAGCTCAACAAGATGGAAAAAAGATACTCTCGACACGGCAGTTGACTTCTGCGTTGTGGAAGGGTGGAGTTTGGTGAGATCTGCATGTCTTCTCCAGCCATTTTTGAAATGCCCAAAAAGGAGCCTTTTTTGACCAACCTCAAAACGTTTTATGTTGATATCTTCGAAACCAAAACGCCTGTTTAAAAAGTCAACTCATCATTGATACTTCATTAGATTCTTAGTCTCTCTGTGCATTGACAACCGCCATCCCAATGTTTTGCAATATGTTATTGCCGAGCGCGTATACGTTAAAGAAATGGTGTCCAAACTGAATGTTTTAAAGTTTCGATTTAATTTATATATTTTTGCAAAAGAAAAGCTGGCCTCAAATGAGGCCATGACTGACCTCATATGAGGTCAAATTGCTTGTCGTCTAGACACTAGCGGTGATGGGCCCTAAGGGCCATTCCATTCATCGTGATTGGCAATCATGCAATCACGCAATCACGCGATCACGACATTAATTTAACGTCGTTCTGCATCGTTCTTTTCTCCAACGTGTGCTACTTGTAGCTGTAAGCACATTCCACGGTTCTGGAAGGGCAAAGGTTTCAAAGGAGGAAATGATGGCACGGCAAAGAGAGTAGATCCTGCTTTCTGGCTTTCCCACATGTGCAACCCTGGGTTGCACAAGCAGCGCGTTGATTATCATTTCGAAATGTACGAATATTTGAATGGGGTTTAAATCTTTTAGAATTGCAAGGAGCATTACAGAAAGTTGGAGCACAAGATTAATTTTAAGTCGATTGTTTATTTCTTTAATGAGCATGACCATTTTTTAGGAAACGTAATATAAACAACCAACCATAAGGGAGCAGGCACCATTTATTGACGTGATTGCGTGATTGCCAATCACGATGAATGGAATGGCCCTTAGAGGCGGCCGCGGAGAGACGGAGCCGCTGCCTGTCCAGGTGCCAGCTCTGACACATGTGTGCGTGTCAGAGGTGTGTGTGCTGTACATGGGAATCATAACAGTTCTAAGGGAATGTGGTGGTGGCAAGAGCATCTCCACCGCGCAGGCAAATTATGGCCATTTCTAAAATATGGCGACTCAGGCTTGAGTTTGGTCTCCACCGCACAAATCTGCACACAAATCTGTTTCACAAATCGTATGATAAATAGGATTTGTGTCTTGACGGCACACATATTTTTTGATTTTGTGGCGCGTCACGTCACAAATCCCATTTTTTGGCAACACTCTTCTGCTTGAACGGACTGATTTTTTGTTACTTTTAGACACCGAAACAGCAAGAACGCGGGAAGCCACGGGTACACCTGACCCGCTCAAAACGTCTGAGCATGCCAAATGCACAGTGGACGGTCTATGCTCGCACTGCACATGCCCGCACCCACCCGCAGGCAGACATTGTGCACGCGTTAACACTCATTTATTATGGGAGTCCGCGGGCGTGGATGGTGGCTAACTGAACTCGACCATCTGGCAAAGGCGTGGGTGGCGACGCGGCCGGGTACGCTTCGGGCGGCGAGGACAAGTCTGAGTGGAAGAGGTCAGCGTCGATGAACTGGACCTCGGCTTTGTGTCCTGCTGGTCGGGGTGGGGGGCGGCCCAGAGGTTGGGGCGCGGGAAGTCTGGGCGCGGATCGGGGGCGGGTGCGACTCAGTGCGCGGTGGAGACCGCGACGCGATTTGCGCAATGGCGATTTGTGGTACTTTCGCAAACGGAATGTGCAAAACGAATGCCCATGTGGGAGCCTGACAAGTGACCAAATATAGAAACAATTTGCCTATGCGGAGGAGATTCTCTAGTGGTGATGCTCTAAGGCCGTAACATTATTAGCCCTGTGCTCATTTTTTGTGACGACTAAAATTGCGCCCCGATCGGTTCTTTTTCCGTAAGTCGGCAACGGATAAGTGTTAAGCAACTAAAAGTTGCTTGTTGAAAGGCACGAATCGTCCCGCTCACGTCAGTGCGAATTTTGCCGCAAACGGTTTGCAAGACTAGTGGTCGCCCAGGTGGTCGCCCAGGCAATATCAAAAAATTGGGGATCAAATGTTCCCTTTCTGTCATGAGAGCCATACGTGCACACGTAGCACACGCATGACAGCAGGATCAGTTCACCTCACTCGCCGCCGGCGTACAGATCCCTAGCCTCTGTGGTGCAAGGAACGATGACTATGTTTTACTGAGGCTAGCGGACGAGGCGCTATTAAGAGGCGGCGGTAGAGGCACGTGTGGTACAATTGCCAAGTGGCGCTACGGTACTAGGCGGGCGCCAGAGGCCTCGCCAAGTACAGTAGTAAGATGTTAACCGATACGGTGCATACGTGGCCAGCACGTGTAGATGTGGCCACGTGGGAGTCCACTTGTAGTTAGTGGCACCAGCTAGTGCAGGTGTACACGTGGTGCGCGACCGATCGGTGGGTTAGTACAGTAGTCATTTTTAGTTACCGTAAGCTACAGTAAGCTGGCTACAGTATGTACAGCTACTGTAGTCCGTCCGGTGCCACCGCCCTACTAGGAGGTATAAGATAGGGGGCACCGGGCTGGAAGTAAACCGAGGCAAGCACGCCTCCCCTTACTTCCTACCCTAGTTCTTTTACCGTACGGTTAAGTAAGTCCCTCAGGTTTCCAGCTCGCCACCAGTCGTACTGCTCCACACACCAGTACGACTGCGCGTGTCCAGTGCGGTGTACCTCCCTTGTCCAGTGCTTCCTACCGTTACGGATTATTCTACCTGACACTCCAGTGTAGCGGTCCCCCAGGCTCCCTCATTTTTAGGTACAGCCTGTCCTTTTCCGTTTACGGTTTAGCGTCCCTACGGTTGTACCACATTTTTGGTACTCTTGTGGAGGGGCGCCTGGGGTTTCTAGACCCTCACCGTCGAGGTCAGGAAAGAAGACATCCGATTCGGTACGTGGACAAGTTGAAAAACACGTATCAACCCCCGGTTCAAGCAAGAAGTCAAGATGAATCCGACCGGAACCCCTGCGGAAGACTCCGGTTCGGGACGGGGCAGTACTCGCTCCGGCTCAGCCCGGGCGAGTACGCGCAGCGGACCACCCGGGTCCGTGCGCCCCCGTGTCGAAAACCCGGAGTCACTGCTACGGGTGACAGGCGGTACAGGGCAGAACCCAACCAATTCGGAGGGGACGGCCCCAGGGGCCGTCCCGGCCCTCGCTGGTCGAGCGGGTACCGAACACCGCTCCCAGTGCGCATTAAATACCCTCTGGCCGCGCATGCAGACGTGGCTGGAGGAAGCTCTCGTTAAAGAGGTTCCTCGCCACGTCGAGGGTGCGATTAACCGAACGGTTCCGCCGCTTGTTGACGAACAAGTCCGGGCCGTCCTCACGCCCGTCATCGACGACGTCGTGGGTGCCCTCGTAGAGCGTGAGCTCCGAGAGGCACTCGACCCTGGAGATCATCTTACACCGTTGGGGCTGAGCCTCCAGACAGCTATCAACATAGCTGTCGAGGCTCGCCTCGCCAACTTCAATCCGAACGGTACTGTAGCTGAGGCACCTCAACCTCCTACAACCGCTACGGCACCTCTCAAATTAATAAGAACCGGAACGGGAGATACAAGACCGACACAGGTATATATGGCCCCTCACCCGGAGGCGGGCCCTCACCCGGAGGACCCACCTATATACCTGCCCGAACTTCAGGGTGTTACAAGGGGTCCGACAGATAAGGACCCCGCGACCTATGACCGATACGGAAGACACCCTCGCCATGAGACAGAAAATCTGACGAGGTATGGCGAGACAGAAAATCGCTCGTCTTTCCGTTACGGTCCCAAGTCCCGACGCACAAGGCGCGGGCCATTGCCGGAGGAAGAGGAGGAGTACTCCGAAGAAGAACCGTACGGTGACAGAAAAGCCGTCCGGCAAGATTACCGTCGCTACAGGTCTCGGGCTGGAGCCCGTCGTCGAGGAGGTGAATTTCCCTCCGACGGAAGCTCGCCTGATTCGACCAGCGACGAAGGTCGGCGCCACCCGGGCAGCCGGCGAGACCGTAGCCACCGACGCAAGTGGTCCGGCTCAGAGGGCTACAGTACAGACCCTGAGCCGCACGACCAGGGGCGCCGACCGGGTAGAATTCGTCGGACTACCGAACGGTCACCCCCCACCAAGAAGGTCGATGTGATTAAACCGCTTAATGATTTATTCACCAAAACGGTTAATTACAAGACCTACCGGTTGGAACGTCGCAGCGTCCGGTATAATTCCGAGGTCGCGGGGCATATCAGCCGTATCCGCAAGAAGCTGGACGTGCAGATGAAATCTCACACGTTCAGTGGACAAGATCCGATAGCGGTATTGGGCTTCCTTGCCCGGTTTAAGATGGCTTGCGAACATAATGGGGTAAGCCAGGGAGCTGCCGTATGGTGCTTCCAATTCTACTTAACCGGACAGGCGCATGCGCTACTGCAGTCCCGCCTTATGGGTAATACCATGGCGGTGGACGCCGAGCAACCCGACATGCTCGAGAGTTACGAGGAGGTAGTCAATTTCCTTTTACGGACCTACGCTACCGATGAAACTATCGCCGAGGCCTACACCGAAGTGGTTTCCTTCCGTCAGAGTTCTAACATGACGGAAGAAGCCTACAGCAATCAGCTGTGGGACAAGGCCCTCCGATGCGGTACTGTCTTCTCAGACCGTCGGCTCAAGTCGCTGTACGTCGAGGGATTGCTCCCAGCGACGTGCGCGCAAGTGCGGAATTATCTAGCGACCTACGCCACCGTAGACTACCAGGCGGTCGCTAGGTACGCACAAGCCATCGGGGAGACACACCGTTCGGCAAGGCGGCACTTATTGCCATCGAACGTCGCGTCCCGTGACGCTACAGGCAAGATTGCCTTTAACCGCTCGGCAAGAAAGACTCCGGTGTTATCCGTCGAGTCCTCGTCGGAGGCCGCCTATACAGGCGCCTCACCCAACGCAGAAGGAATATTGGCGATGACGAGCCCCACAGTACACGCAAGTACCGTGAGCTCGCCACCAACAAGTTTCCAACCTTCTCCGGTACCGTCAGTGGGAGGGGTTGTAGCCCCAACGTCCACGGTAGCCGGTTATGGATGCCGCTACGGAAGCGGGGACCAACGCGCAAGGTGGAGACCGCCTCCGTGCCGGTTCTGTCTGGACCCTACTCACCGACAGGAAAGCTGCCCTATTGTCGCGGACGCCTCGCTGCGAGCCCAGCTCCTAGCAGCGAGGGAAGCCAACTATCAAAAGTTACGCATCCGACAGGGGCTCCGCCCTGGGTCTCCATTCAGTCGTCCACAGGGACCTGTGTGGCGAGTAAATCCCTCATC